ATTGGAGGAAAAGATGTATAATAATAAGGTTATTACGAAGACACCTCTAGGTATGCACTCAGACAGTACACCGTCGATTACGTCGCACGCGTCGGTCGATACTGCCGCTGTACTGCCTTCGTGCATACTTCGAGGTATCCTCGTAATAACGTCATAGTATTTTGTATGGCATATAGGGCACAATACTGAACAGTGAAATGCGGACAATATGTTTTTTTTATTAGTAATCATGTAATAAGCACCCATAAATGGCTAAGTAAATTCCAGCTCTGCCAGATGACGTGTTTTATTATTGTACGATGTTTATTTTGGATTCTCATCTCTGTATATTTGTTCATTGCATTTAGATGCTGGTCATATATCGGCAGGCAAGGAGGAACACAATATTTGTCACTACAAGATTCCTACTCTGCATCGTGTATATTCAGTGGTATTATTCAACACGAGTTTTTGCACGCTATTGGTTTTTGGCATGAACAATCTAGACCAGATCGCGCTAGCTTCGTTACAATAAACTGGGCAAACATTTTGCCAGGTAAAAAAAATACGAGAATGAACTGCTCGGAAATAGTAAAACTAGTACTACTGTGCACATATAGGATTTCTTTTTTATTCTGCCTCCGCTTTAAATTTAAATGTTTATTTAATTTTCTTGAGCAGGAGCCGAACACAATTTCAACACGGAGGCAATGACAGTTCAGAACACGTATTACGACTTCGGCTCTGTGATGCACTACAGTTTATACGCTTTTGCTATCGATAGTAATATTAAAACAATAATTCCAAATCAAACACCAGTCATCACTCCAGGCCAGATAGTTAGCGTTAGTGTTACAGACGTCGCGGAAGTAATCGGACTTTATAATTGTTGTAAGTATACATAGTACAAATGTGTAGTTATATTTCTACTGAAACGTTTTTTTAAAAAGCGTAGTACGTACGTACGTACTATGTATTTCTATTGTTCGCGTCGTATTTACTTCGCACCGCCACGTGTGGATAATCGTCCTGTGCCCTTGCCTGTAGATATGGTAGTTCACGGAGGATGGTCTACTTGGAGTTCTTGGTCGAACTGTCCAGTAACATGCGATGGTGGCCTACAGACGAGAACACGGCAGTGCAACTACCCTCCACCCTCAGTTAATCCACCCGGACTACCGTGCATTGGAGACAGCTTGGAATATCGAGATTGCATGACAATACTGTGTCCATTGGAAATCGGCAAGTAATTTATTCTTACATGTTTTCGGACTCCCCGAATATTACTTGTCCTGTTTTAGAAGCTGTGCAATTAAAATTAAGATCCTAACACCATCCAACTATGAAGAAATAATTTCTCCATGGAAAACGTGCAAAAATACATATTATGACTATAACCCATTTTTAACTCTTATTTCTCGTAAAATAGTATGGTAACCACCATTATGTTTCATAATCACATTTGCATCAAACTATACTACTAAAAACATGCAAACCTGCGTGAAGTACCCATGAACATTGAAGTACCATGTGTTACGTGTTATTTGATAAAACTCATTGATTAAACTTCGAACTATGTTTGTGTATTACACATTAGATTACCAACATCGAGGTTGCTGGTCTGACATGTATTTTCCATCGCTGTTGGTAACACTTGAATTGACAGGAAATCCATATTTAGACGGGAACTATTGGTCGAGAAGCGAACCAGGCAGGGTAAGTGTTGTGTAAAACTATGGTTATTTGCATCCCTTTATTACTCTAGACATAATAACATATATATTTTCATTGCAATACAAGTAAATAACCTTTATGATTTGTTTGTATATACAGAAATGTGCGAGAGCAGCGGTACATGCTAACTATCAATACTTTGCTATGAGATTTGACGGGAGATGTTATGCCACCTCGAGTGCATGGCTGTATCAATCCCAGGGTGCATCAACGGACTGTGTGGAAGGATTTGGAACGACCAATGCTATCGATGTATACGAAATTGAAGGTAATAATAGTGGCATCATAAAAAGTAAATGTTTAGAAACTGTAATAATGTTCAATTTGTACAAACTTGAACAACAATTCTATAGGTGTCGACTGGTTAATGCAGTGGGTGGAATAAACAGTCCTGCTTTGATTTTCGTTGGATAAAATTCCACACAAGGCAACCACCATTTCACATCACCGTTCTATGTATTTGTACTGTTCTGTTCTGATATTTAGATATCCAAAAACTGTTGTGGTCAAAGTCATTTTAGTATTTGTTCTAATTTTATTATTTTTATAGATTGGGTGTGTCCCGATGGTTCGACTTACTACGGTTTCTGTTACTTGCCGCTCTCATTTACCCCACACGTCACCAGCTACTGTCCCTCGAGCCACTATTGTGTGACTATTGGAGGCACTTCATACGCCCCCGTGTCGATATGCTGTAAACAGGGTAAGCTAGAATAGATATATATACGGACAAGACATAGTTGTTGAGTTGTCATGATTCCTATAATGTTCATGTTGACTTTCTTTTGCAGAAATGTGTATCGACAACTGTGACGATTACATATATTCACGCGATTGCTGGTGTGACACCGCATGCGTATACTACGGAGACTGTTGTTTTGAATATGCAGATCAATGTTCAGGTAAAAAAGCCTCAAGATATTATATTTGACAATTGCATAAATGGGTAGCTCGATGTTGATTTATTTTTTACTTGTATAAGCTATGTGTTGTGACATGCATTATTATATCACAATATTTTACACTGTAGGTCAGGACATCTGCTGGGCGTCAGGTGATCCACATTATTATACACTTGATAATCTCTACTACGACTACCAAGGCGATTGTGACTACATCCTAACAAAAAGCAACAACAACGATTTTTCAGTTACTGTGAACAACGAGTTTCACAATTCCTACCCGCTTTCATGGACTAATGATATAAAACTGAATATTTATAATCACGTAAGATGTTAAAATATAATTATCATAAATCGAAACTGCAACTGTTAGGGATGACGTCAAAAGACCGATGTCTGATAAAAAAAACTTGCTTTTAAATTAGTTTGGGGGTGGGGGGGGTTGACCTCAAAAATTACCATCCTACAAAAACGATTTTATTTTTTAATGAAGTCAAAAAAATCTTGGAGTATTTGTAGTTCGTTTCTTTTTCTATCCATGCATGTACAAAAATAACAGAAAATGAAAAGAAAAAAAACACCCAAGACGAGAAAATGGTTTAGTCAGAGTCTAAATATGTGCGTCAAATGAGGTAAATTTCAGGGCATGGACCTAGAACCAACTGCTATGCCATACTACTGTCCGATTATCAATTTGTATTTAATGGTGAATATAGTCTGACATCATGATAAATATTTATCAATTAAGTTTCAGTGGGGGTGGGGTGGGGGCGGTGAAAAAACTGAAGGAATTAAGTTTTTTTTATCCTACATTGAACTTTTGATGTTGTCCCTATAGCTACATCAACAAGCCATGTATTTCTGCGCCATGTGTATATTTATTCGCATTTTCATTTTTACAGGAAATACGATTGCTGCCATATAAATATGCTACGGTTGATGGGTCGTTTGTCAATCCACCTGTGACTGTCACTCAGTTTTTGAAAATTGAATTTGCTGGGTATTGGTTGGTGAGACACATTTAATTACAACTCGTCTTTTGATACTTTGATCGTAGTTTGATACTTTCAAGTAATTGTATTTATATATGGTCATGTACTATCATTGTTTCCCATGTTTTAAGATTGTAAGAACAGGTCATGGAATGATTATATATTGGAACGGATATTCCACTGTCTATGTATATTTGTCAAACACACTACAAGGAGATGTAAGTGGTCTGTGTGGTAACTTCAATGGCAATCCTTCTGATGATTGGACCAAAGCAAACGGAGTATTGGTAATTATGATACGATCAGGTTAAACCAATCCGATTTACGAACGTAACGTATTCACCATACGTGTTTAATTTATGAATAATGCTTTAATTTCCACAGACATCATCTGTTAACGATTTTGGCGACAGTTGGGCAGTGAGTGCAAACTGTGCCCCAGCACCGTCTAAGCGGTCAATTGAAGAACATTTTCAACGGAACACTGCCCAGGCAGAAGAAATCTGCAATGAGCTTTTTAACTCTGGTATTGTAAATTTAATAATATATCTCAGGCCTTTATTTTCCTGAAAACTGACTTATAACAATTTAACATAATTTGTAAGGTCAGATGTAATACAACATTTCAACTACTACTTTCATATATTTTTTTTCAGATAATATACCGAGCTGTTCCGTTACACTTCCTGGTTACGAAGATGTTTTCAAACCCGCTTGTGAAATGGATGTGGCAGCCGCTTTACCTGATGATGACACTGGTGGATGTGACCTTGTCGCCAGCTATGTTGATATGTGTCGAGGTGCTGGGGGAGAAATTGGTAACTGGCGATCTGGAACAGTGTGTGGTATGAGTGTACATATTTCTTATTTGTTGACACATTTCCTAGAATAAGTGACACTATAATAGTATGCATCTTCAAACATTCCACAAATGAATTAGGTAAAATTGTTGTTATGCAGAAATTTCATGCGAAGACGGCAAAGTCTACAAGGCATGTGGCTCTGCTTGCCCTCCAACATGCGAGACCCCTGAACCGTTTGGTCCCTGTACGGAAGATTGTGTAGAAGGTTGTTTCTGTGCAAATGGTACTATCATGGACGAAGGTGGGATATGCAAGGCCCAAGAACAATGTGGGTGCTATTGGCTAGGCGTACTTTATAGGGTATGTGATATGTTGGTCTATGTTTAGACATATTCTCGAAAAATGGTTGTGTTGTTATAAATACTGACGCTAATTATGATTTTACGTAAATATGAGTTTGTAGGTTACATTATTATTCTGTGCTTCCAATGTTTACTTTATTTGTTATATGTTTACTTTTTTAGTTTGGTGAAGAGATGCCCAATAACGAAATATGTGCATGTGATGATAGTAAGTACACGATTCAGTCATGTTTCACAAATAGGTTACATAACATTGCTAAACAAAATCAGATTATTTTGATTTGACCTATTTATAAAGTATGAAATGGTGCCTGTTCATTTGTGCTTGAAACACGAGGAAATGATGTACATTTTGTCAGAATCTCGGTAGTAAAGAAATTAGATATCAAAGCAAAAGCTGCTCTGCTGTCTCCCACATGATCAGCTTATTAGCAGTGCGCACTACAGTGGCAGTGAAACTTCCATTTGATAATAACAAATTTATTTTCTGAATTAGTATTTGTCTATGCATTTGGTTTTTACATTTGTGCTGATTATTTTGATTTGTGTTTTATGTATGCAAGATGCAAGATTCAATTTTATGGACTTCTATTACCAGTGATTAGGGTGATTTGTTTAGACGGTTTAACGCTTGCGGTGTGGATCGTTGGATCGTTGCTCCCGGGATTCCATCGAGATATACTTACATAACTCAGTGAATCACAAGTCCTTATTGTGCTTCTGTTTTGTATTATGCAGTTCCTGATACTGTGTGTATTGGTTGCCGACATTTTGAAATAAACACCGATGAAGTGAATTTTGCGAAAGCAAAGACTATCTGTCAATCCCGAGGTGGGAGGCTGGCTAAGCTGGACACACAACCTGTCTTCAAGGAAGTACGCCAATTTATGTTTGCGAATAACTATGAGGATGAGGTGTTTACTGGCTTCTGGTTCGGTCTGGATGATATCGACTCTGAAGGAGAATACGTCTGGTGTGATGGTACTTCTCTGGACGAGCAACTATTTACGAAGTGGGGTAACGGTCAACCGAACAACAACGTACAGAAAAACCCGGATGGTCAGGACTGCGCTCAGTTGTGGTAAGCCCCATTTAAGCATGTTCGTCTCATGATATTTTATTATATAAATAGGATCCCAGATCGAATATTAAGCTCAAACCAGCCATATTACAACCAGCTATATTACTACCAGCTATATTATTTTCAATTGGGTGTCTAAAGCGTGTTTTTGTTTTCAAATTTAAGGGCACACCATTTATTGACTTGGGACGATGAGTACTGTGGTGATAAGAAGGGATATATCTGTGAATATGGTAAGTGATACTATGCTGTATGTTCTCGTAATATATGGAATTTCTAATAGTACACTCAGAGCATATTTGGAACAAACACAAAACAGTCAGTGCTTTGGGATTAAGTGTAAGTGATTTTAAACAGTCTTCATGGAGCTGATATCATGTTTAGTTTGCATGAGCAGATGGTAATTGGGTAATTTGCATAATGATGCTAATTCAGATTGTCTATATTTTTCAGATTACTGTCTGGATGAACAATAACAATGAGTATACTACATTAATAACTCGGAAACTCACTTGCATGCTAAATATATTATATAAATCACATTGTAACACTTAAATCAGGTAACCCTATTCATCAGGGTTATTTATCATGTAAAATGTTCGCTCTATAATAAAGCTGTGTCATGAATTCTCGTGTGTATTTTCATTCATTTCCGGCAAGGTATTCTAAAAATGGTGGAGTGGACAAATTGCAATACACGAATGTCATCGGTTTTTACCCTGATACGACAATGTATATTTATCAGTGACATACATGTTACGATGGACGTATAAACACTGAATCCAACACATTGACTTAGAATCGTATCAGATACTGAATATATTTCTTCAAACGACAGTTTTATGACAGGGGCAGTAAAATTCAGATTACTGTGTCTGACATTGCATTGCCCTTTGTTTAATCTCATTATGGCATATAAAAGTGGTTGTGTAACCGAACAACTTCAACTCTGTAACTATCAAGAACATTTCAAAAAAAGCTGCTGGGAAAATGTTTAATTGTGTGTTATAATCGTGTGTCATACCTCATGTTTCAAATATGCTTGAAAGCCATGGATGAATCGAGTACGCTCAAGACGACAACATTTTTTGTATTTTATCATTCATAATATACAACGTACGTACATCTATACACTCCCTATAGCATGTCTTCTTCATCCACATGGGAATAATATTAGAAAGGAAATTTGGCTCAGTTTAGTACTCGTTTGGAAAAATAACTGTCCGTTATTACAATGGCCTAACAAATACTTAAAGCTTGCTAAAATGGTCGCAAATCTTAAAAATTGTGGTCAAATAAACAGATTGGTTGCTCGACCGTGAAAATGGGGGGGGGGCGCATACCTGTATAATTCTACTATGACGTAACCCCAGCATCGATGGTTTCTAAAGCCAGAAACTTCGAGGGAGAGATAGTTCTCAAACCACGGTATGTGTGAGGCGTTGTCATTTAGATTGACTACAGAATTATTACTGTCACTTGCACCTCCAATTGGTAAAGTGTGAGAAGCGCACACTGTTCGCAGTTTGGCAAAACTTCATGTTCTCATTGGTATTTGTGATATTATTTGTTTCTGCCATGTAGATAATTTTTTTGTTGACCTTTGATAGTTCTCACTACTTGTCAGTGGGAATTTGGGTTCACGTCATTAAACTGTTTTATTTCAAAATTCCACACCACCACCACGTCGAAAAATATCTGTTATTGGCGAGGATGATATCAAGTGTAGATGAGCTGCGAGAAAGTGTCAGTTTCTCGCTCTAGTATACATTTGTTTGCAATTCATACTTTTCGGTGTAGCGATACTTTACGAACAATATTCCTGTACACTATATTTTGTTCACAAATTTATGTACAGCTCAATAAATTAATAGAAAATTACTTGTATATTTTGTATATGCAAACAAGATTCAACAGCATTTTACAATTTGTGTCATTATAGTGCATATGTTTTCATTTCCAACAAATGTGTACTCTTGCACACTGAGCATAATTAACTAAAAATGAAAACAACGAATAAGTAAATCATAATGATTATGACAGTGTAAACAGCTTTAGTAAACAATGCAACATTCAAATCCCAAACTGATTTTAAATTGTATGACGGTCCACCGACACACGGCGAGCTGAATATTCACTTGGAGCAAACAAATATTTTCTAATCAATTGTGATGTGTTCCAAATAAGAAGAAATATTTTATTTCTGCTTAATTACAGTAACTTAAGAGTTATTGTGCATTATGTTGATACATAGTGATGTATACTTACAGCTATGGCTTCAATATATACCGTGGACGATTTTGGCCCGATCGTCACCCGCACAAGCAACCGGAAAAAAGTTACCGGTGTTCGGTCGAACCGGGGTCGAACCCGGCCGTTAGAAAAAAATCGTCACTCCCGGAATAACCACTCAAAATAACGACCAAAACTGGAACTATTTAAGCCATAATATAATCATAAAAATCATAGATGATTTTTGTTGCACATGACAATGATAAACTTACCAAAAAGCGGTGTTTTTCCGGTCGTTTCCATTGGTGTAATCTGCCATTTTATTTGAGTGTGTTCATGACCTGACGCTGACCGGTGACGTCATCAGGAGCGCTATAGAAGGAGGTCTGTGATTCGTTGACTAAACAAGTCAAATTGAAGGAGGTCTTGTTGAAATCTCGTTTATGGAAGGCCAATTGTTGTATTATTCATTAAAAATATGTGCAAGAATTTACATTCATATTTAAACATTACATAGTTATATTCATAAAACCTTCATTTGTATTCGTAGAATCTCCATTTGTATTTGTAAAATCTCAATTTTAAACGCTCCATTTGTATTCGTAATAAAATTTGCATTTTGTTTTGTGAAATTTGCATTTATATTCATAAAATCTAAATTTGTGTTCATGACTCACCTATTTGTATTTGTAACAGAGGTGCTAAGTGGGCATAGAGGGCGCTGTTTGGTAGAAATGTATATTTGTGTTTGTAAAAACTACATCTTATATTCGTCAAACTCCATTAGTGTTTGTAGAATCATCTACGTATGCAACAAGTGAACACATATGGCGCTCTTAGTTAATACGCGTGGATTCAACTAGACTTTTTTTTTGTGTAAAACAAAAAAGAAGTCCCAACTTTGCCAGTCTAGAATTCAACCTGTAGGTTTCAACATTTCGACGACCCATCCTGGTTTCCCAATTTTCAGGCGCAACAGGTTTTAGCCGTGGTTTGGCGTCATTTTTAATCCGAATAAGTCTTGAGCTTCGTTTGTCAGAGTACACTGCAGCGTATAGAGTATAGACCGGACCAACGGTACAGTGCAACCCTATAAAATAATCGTTTCTCTTTACGACGGCAACCATGAGTTTGCTTGATCGAATGTTATGAACTTATGGCAAAGTCCCTTTATCGATATTACGGTGACTCAGTTAAAAAATGATCAGGAAATACTGGATGTACGAACACATTGATGTGTGTGATTTCGTGCTATCAAGTTAGAACCCGACTCATGAATGCAAATACCCAGAATTTATTTATTTTTGCAATAAATTGTACTTTCGGGCAATATTAGTTTGAATGGGGTCACCTGTCTAATTTTTGGAAATGATGGTTGTATTTTAGTGTCTAGTTGCCATTTGACAGTATTATATCGCCTTGGTGACATAGGCTGAACAAAAATCATACAATGTGAATGATGGGGTACTTTTTTGACCTCAACTATTTCAAAAATTTGGGTTTTAAATCGTATCAAAACAATTTTTTTTAACAATGCGCTCTATAGAATTGTTCTGAAAATATCGATTTTTAAAAACTATTAGAACAAGTACCTCAAAATACGTCACTGCAACACACAGAGTAATGTTATTTTATGGTAACATGATAGCTTCATGCATTTACTAATAAACCAATGAACATTGTCATTATGAGTGGGGTTCTCCACAATACGATATCGTCCAGCAGATTCTATAGCGCTAACATTATTATTACACAAGGTTTTCTAGCCAAAGTCCCTACCGTGCTGCGCGATTTCCTATGCCGCGTGCATGATATCATAACTCCCCATAATGTCACTGCTATCGTGACGTCCGCTTCCTATATTACAATACCATCGTGCAAGGCTTTCCTACCAACTTGAAGGTCTCTATTATGTCATCGTGTTACACGGTATCCTAAATGCGCTATATTGTGCACGGCAGTATAACATAGATTTCTACGCTAGAATACTTATCGTGCAATGCTTCCATTTCTATATCCTGCTATCGTGTTGCAATTGTATTTCCTATCAAACACATCAATACTTACACTCATATTTAATACTCGGTACATGATACTGCAGTTACGAAACTGGACAGAATGCACCAACATGTTACGCCGTTGACACCTGGCATCTTAGACGACTAATGAACTTCTTTAGTGATCTGAGGTGACACCGTGTCGCTTTTGGCCTGGCCGCTCGAAGCCGGTGACGGTGTTAAATTCAACTTAGTACCTTGATATTTGATTTATTGTTCACGATCCATGTGGGTAGGTGTCTAAAAATAAATAATGTCTAATCAGGTCAGGCGTTTTGTGTTACGTGATTTACCTTATATGATGACTTGTTTTTGAATACTGAAACAGACAACTCTCGTATTTGGCTTAGACACGCACTTTGCCGTGTTTCCAAGACTCAGTTATTTTAGACCGACTCTCAGAGTGAAAGTGTGTATTATATGCCATTCTACATATGTATTCGTCATGTTCTGCATAAAGTTCTGCACATCCACCCACCGTTAGTCACGATACTCATTTCTGACAATGCGATGCATTATAGCTCACGAAATTACTATAATCTCAGACTAATATTAGTCTGAGCTATAATGCACAGTACTATGATGCATCTTCGCATAGTAGGTATACTGAATTACAAATACAAATAAGAGTTTAACGTATACAAATGGAGATCTTACGAATACAGAATTAATGGAGATAAGAGCCGTACATTGTGACCGCACAATACATAATATTCTTAAAACCATGGAAAGTCGTTCGGGACACCCGGTGGTGTTATGAAGAGCCCATAGAAATTTGATACTACCATCGGAAATGCAACCCGGAATTCTGTCAGTACCATTGGAAATGTATGGAAAGTCGTTTGTAAACCCTGGCGACCATAGTTACCTATTATATTCAAAATAAGACATTCCCAAAGGCTACAAAGGTGTTACGCTACATAAATCTGTTTATATATTAATATCATAAATTTATCGAGTGGGCATCAAACATATAAAAATACCAAAACCACGTGTCGACAAAGCAAATGATTCATTACTCACGTGACCTGCCATCTTGAATTTTTCAAGGTATAGTATCTTAGCTTACTGCCTCTATATATTTGTGGAGTGAGGGATGAACGGATACGAAATTGTGTGAGCAGACGATGGCGTTCTGCATACATGTATGTTTGAAAGCACAATAACTGACTGTCATGACGTCATACTAACCAGCTACACTCCAGCTAATAGGTGATTTTCCGTACAATTGCGAGATCTCGCGAGATGTATGAAAGACGCGCGTCGAACGTCTGCCACAAAAGTCGAACGATTTGATTTTGAACTAGAATTTCTTTATTTCGTAATTCACATCGACCGGCCGATCTTCGACAGAGGAATATTGCTTCCGAATACCCTTACTTAATCGAAATTGCCTATCATCAAATGTGGACAGCACATTATTAAGCATGGAAATGTCCTCCAAAATACTTCGCGTTTGTCGAATCCCACGCGATATTTGACGCCACTACGACGCTATGACCTTCGTTTGTCCTGTTTTTACGTTCGATTTCACACATAACGCGTGATTCTCGCAGTAAACGGAAAATGGTCTATTAAATACAAGGTGTATTTAGATACAGTGCCACCATCCTCGACCCACCCACAAATTAGTCAAGTCGCACACACAATGGTGTGTGGTTTGTGTAGTACGTGTTAGCACAAATATTTTTGACTCACAAGCATTATCACCAGTAAAGAAATATCAAGACAGGTGTGCTATGTATTACAAAATGAGTTATATGAAAAAAAAAAAAAAAAAGTCGTACAAAAATGTATTTAAATGCCAAATAATTTGTCACTGTAGTAATTTATATATCCAAGTATGAAATAAGTCTCAAGATTGGAAAATTCAATTGTACAGTATTTGTTGACCACAGTTTATGAAACGTCAACTGGACGACTTTTATAATATAGAAGTGTGTTCCCAGTACCGCTATAGTCCTACCGAACTTCCGAACAGGAAAAATATTTCGCTTATCACAAAATAGATGTGGGCGACGTTCTTACTGAAGTAAAAAAAATTAAGGTTGGAAACCCTTTTATAGTCCATCTTTTGATTCAGGTGTTGAAAGAAACTTGAAAAAAGACCCATTTTCGAAAATCTATTGCACAAAATATGATACACACCCATATAAACTACACAATAGTCGTATCCGCGGTCTATAAGCCATCAAAGGCGTCGATGTTGCTATGTCACTTGAAGTTTGTGTGGGCATTGTGGGTGTAGACAGTTTGGAGCATTTGAGTCAATCATTATTAAATATTATTAAATTGTTTATAAACAGAGGTAAAACTTTCTGCCTTCACCGTATGTGGAAAAGATAGTGTGGTGTCACAGTACTCGATTCGGATAAAGTCGATGTACAAAAATGTTTGCTTTATGGCGTTTTATCAATGCTTACTATAGCAAGGAGATATATCAAAATTTTGGTCCGTGAAATATGAACAAATAAGAATATACATGTAGTGACTTAAAATGTAGTTGTTCGTGTCTGAAGTATTAAAAAAATGTATTATATTATTATATTTATTGTTTTGTTTTTCTCAAATGACGAATTGTACTCAGTAGCTTACATCGTGGTCTTTGGAAACCGCTTTCGTGCCATTCTATGTATAGTATTCAACAGCGTTTCAGATAGACACATTCAAATAATACAAAAATGATTAATTATAGAATTCTATATTTAATTCCCTCACAATTTATTAAACACCATAATGCCTTCGATGAAGGTGCTTGTACAGCTACAGTGTAAGCTTTATCATTTTCTCCGACCGTGCTGGCTCCCGCTGTGGGTCTACTCCTTATTTCGATGAGCTTATATTTACCACATTTCATATCTTTCTCGTAATTTTAACAATCACTGGTCACTTATTCAAAATGAATAAGCTTGCTGATTGGATGTTGTTGAACTAGATTTTATTAATATCATTTGGAACTCATAGTCACGGTGATGATGACGAATCTTTTCTGGAATGATCAATTGGAATGATATCAATCATTTTGATTTATGAACATTCATATTTATAAAAAATATATATATTTATAAAACATCCTCGGCTTTATACTTTCCACTGTATATTACGAAAATTATTATGAATACATTAATTTGGTGGTCGACTTCCGGAAGAGACAGGCGTGATGCATAATTGTAATGGTTATGACACCCTCTAGGATAATCACAAGTTCAAATTCTTTGTCGCAAAGCTTTGCATAACTTCTGAACAGTGCACGTTTTCATACAGCTAAAACTGGAACACGAACAGGCACAAAGAATGTGATAGCGCCATCTCGAGTACTCAATATATTTGTCATACTTATCAACGGTGGCGGCAGAATTATGTTAAGCTTTCGCCACACTTAGGGAGTCCAGATACGCGATATCGTATTACCAAGGCATCTAGGGCCCACCCAGTTATTCATATCAAACTTCCTAGACTACTTCCTGTATTTATGATGTAAGTGATTCATTTAGAGATGAAGAGCAGAACGGGTGTGTGAACCGAAATCTTATTTCCGATAAAGTTTACAATGGCTGTCGCGTTAGGATTTAAACTTACCCGTGTTATTGGATTTCTGGCCGTTTTAAGTAAGTACAGTCTATAAAATTGTATTTAAATCGTTGCCAGAAACCATCTTTCACAACTTAATGGGCTTGTTTATGTAAATCCACATTTGTAGTTGAAGTGAGACCGTTACCCCTCTTAATACGGCTTTTTCCGGAGAAGCAGTCCGAGATCATGGTGTGTGTCTGTTGCGTTTTGGCTAGCGTTAGCAATGAAATAATGTGAAGAAAAAAATAGTTTCGTGAATTTGTGCTCAGAGACTCATAAACAGCTGATAAACATCTCTGACCGTGGCACCCGATCTACACATGTGGAAACCATTAAATACCATACTTATAGACGCAGAACAAGCGGCATCAAGGCCGAGGCAAATTGTACACCAGACGGTTGTATAACAGGACACACTATAAGGTCAGTTCTGACAGTTCAGGCCTGTTGAAAGTGAAGGCGTATCTTTGCTCTTGTATATACAGAATAAACTGTACATACTGAGTGATCCCACTGCGAGGACTGAAATGTAATACGGATGTTGGGTAGTTGAGACAATGTGAGGCATGTTATTGATGACCTCAAGCCAATCGTATCACGCTGGAACTCTCATCTACTTGACACAATTGGAATTATAAGATGATAATTTTCTTTTAGCTTTAATGGTATATGTTGCTTTATCTTCTACTGACTTCAAACTGAGTTTACAGGAATTATAGCTGCAATATGGTCAATATTTTCTGAATCCTTTTTTTAAAGAACTTTATATTGTTTGTTTGTTTTTTGTCTGAATCAGACCTTCCAAAAAATTGACATAATGTTTAGGGAATTTTTAAGAACCCAATGACAGACCCAGAGATTTGTTTTAAACAAGGGAACTGTGACCTGTCTGATAGTAATTTTGGCTCCAGGGAAGCTATAAAATGCTCTGTTTTAACTTAGAATTATCAAAACTCCATACCCTGGTAGGGAAAACCCTATCTCCCCCACTGGTGGCGCCACTGAATTGCAGTGCTCCCTCTTGCAGTTTTTTCCTAGAGAAACCCCTGCATGTATTTTATCATTTGTCGCCATGCCAACTGACTTTATCCATTGTCATGGTGATCTGCAAATATTATAGAGTTGGAATGCAACTTTAATTCAACTGGGATGTTTATCAAAAAAAAACATGCAAAAATAATTAGCTCTAGCAAAACAATCAGTATGACGCAGAGACACTTAGTGAAATAAAAAAAATGATTTATCTACTTATGCAAATTAAGTCTTCGTCTAATCTAACCAAGCATCATAATTAATCTTCTATTTCTCTGGCAATAAAATTGAATAATTTGACACTTCTAATGCATACCATATTATTAATTGCAAAGCCCAAAATAATGAACAATATGACGTTGACTGTGAGTAGACGTACAGAAACAGTGTATCTCAAAAGCTTGCAACTATTTGGCTCCATCATGTCCCTTATCTGGCTTTATATGCTTAGGCCAAATAAAATAAGCCATGTGTTATCAGTAACCTGACTCACCATTGTTTTCTAATAAATCAAACAGTTGTTTTTAATTTAAAAAAATGAATTATTTCTATGCAAATTATCTATTAGCTTAACTCACATAAACCTAAGAGTGTGTACTCATTGGAAAAGAATCAACTAAAAGAAAATAATCTATGCAGTATTCTTTTAGGCCAATTGTGCCTCATTATTTGCAGACAATCAACTATGTATATACATATTTATACATTTGAAAGTTCTTTAATACTTTGATAATCATCTTACTTACTTCACCATAAAGCCATGCAACATAAATTTGAATTAGTATGGCATGACTGCTTATGTCTTGCCCCTTGTCATCTGCAACATGTGTTATAATGATAAATCAGAATCCAAGAGATCACAGAAGTCAAACAGTCTGTAACATTGTTTAACTCTCGATAGTTGAGATGTGTGACACCAAACTATATAACTGCAGTAGTGACCTTTGACCTTAGTAAGATATTCTTAAAATATTCTTTATTTTTCATGTATACCAGTTAACAGTACAGAATGAATTTCATGTTAAAACAGTTTAATGTGATTGAAGTAGTTTTGAATGAAATTTAAGTGTTTGGTAATGACTGACACAAACCGCATACAGATGTATTATATCAATTAATTTCCAAATCGCCTTAAGTGCATGCTTGTTCCTGGTGTATATAACATATATTGAGCAGCAATGTTTGTTATTTATGTAATGGTTTGTAACAGTCGAAAATTACAGTTGTTTACAAAGGGTGAAACCTAATATCAAAGTGATGAAAGAACCATCTAACCATTTTAACCAGAAAGGAAAAAACAAATCTTCCTTCATTCCCAAATAGTAATTCTGTGCCATAAAAATTGGTTATCCAATTGCTGTTCTGCGAATTTCACACTTTTCCATTGTACTGAGTTACTGCTGGGAAATCGCCGCCATGGTAACTGGTTAACCATGATATTGATTGGCTGATTTTCCAAATAATGGATGACATTTTTCACATGCACTATATTAAACTGATAGTTGCCATAGCAACGAGTATATGATAGACTAATTCTTCATGAAATAAATATAAATAGTAATGGCACAATCTTAGGAGAAAGTCCAGATACTGTGGAAAGTGAGTACCTATTGTAGAGTAGGTGTCAGTTAACAAATAAGCTAAACATTTTGTGCTATTGTCTAAAAACAAAAAATTGATACATAGATTGAGTCCTTGGTGAAACACTCTACCTGCCAGATGGTAAAGTTCGTTAAAATATTTCTCACAATTTTTGATTCATTTAAAGTATAAGAGTTATATGTTCACAAAACTGAGAAACACTGCCAAAGAAAAAAAATATTGCACAAATTTTAAATTAAAAAAAATGTTCAGCATTATAAATAAAATATCAAACATCAGAATTTTCTAACCCATCTTATCCCATACATGTAGGTTACAAAACAAAATATGATGAGATCTTGTTACCATAGCAACTAGTGGTGAATTTGTCAAATATTGTTCTTTTCATGGACTATTTTTGTGATCAATTAAGTAGTATGGTGATAGGAAGTTTTTTATCTGGATTTGGGGGGAAAACAGCAGTTTATTCATTTATAATAGAGTCTAAAATTGTTGCGAACAGCAGGATGCGCATATAATTCTAATTATTCTTTTGTTTCTTATTGCAGTTACATTTTCACTACAGAATGAACCCAAAGAGTGTGAGAACTATTTTCAGTATATGAGACATCTTCTAGTGCGATGTTTTATAAACTCCCCAAATAACAAATTATATATGCGTAATGATGCAGTCAGTCCTGAACTGGACGGTCCGCAGTGGATTATACAAATACCGGATGAAGGAGAAGATAGGGAGAGAGATGTGTACAAGGTAATTCCGACATTTTTAAGATGGTCTCTCTTCTTCATTTATTGCAAAATATTTTGTTTTTAAAAAAAACGGGAAGGATACTGAGTGCATGATTTAAATTAATGATTTGATATTGTGTTGAGTGAAAGCTAGATTCCATCAAATAAATAAATATAAAAAAAAAAAAAAAAGGTAGAAGAACTTGTTTCCAATTTTTAATGCCTGATTCCAAAATTAGTTCTGTTATAAGTTTTGTCTTCGAACTTTCAAATACCAAGTTACATGAAAATTTCCATGTTCATCCTTAAAAGATGAATGACTGGTTGAATCTAGCAACCAAAGACTATTCAGAGTAGGTCACCTACGTGCTCTATTCTTAGAGGGCTACATGGTAAATGTACATATACAAGTGTACTATGTACATAGTTAAATAAGAATGATTTTTAGGGCTTTATCCAACAAACGAATATTTATAAAAAAAATGTTTGACTTTGAAAATTTGTCAAAATACTGACTATCACTTCAAATAGAAATTTTACTCATGCAATCAACATAAAAATGTGAAGAACGCTATTTTCAGCGTGATGAATTCACGTTTATTTTGAACCAACGTGTTGATTACAAAATAATGTTTTGAAGTTCCCATCTGAAATACAGTTGCCTTAAAACAGTCTTATCTTATCTCTCAGTTTTTTAGAAGCACTATAATGCACAGGTAATGAACACTTAGAAAATGCTAATTTTGATTGGTCAAGTTCATGATCATAATATGACAGCAGTTACTTTTGCTGATGACAGTAGTTATTACTTCATTGAAAAAAAATGTCTTTGTTGATAGAAAAATTGAGTGTCATACATGGATCGCATATCAAAGCCTGGACGAACATGTTTGCTAAACGATAGCCATCACATCAATGAAAACAACTAACAGTCATGTTTCTGAACTCGTCACGGAAATCTTGGTGATTATTGATCCCAGTACAATCACTGTAATGTACATCAGACATGGATATCTGCAGTGATGTCAGTAACACTACTGTCACATGTATTAGTTGAAATCAATAAACTTATTAGTATTAGTATGTATAATTATTACCTTCCTGTTCAATTTACCTGATTTACGCCGATAACTTGTCAGGGGAGCACGATACGCGGCAATATTCATGAACTGATTGGTTTGCCAGGTTTACGTTCACTATATGACTATCTTATTGGAGTGAAAAACTTGCATTTTGTAGCGATTTCGCGTGATTTTTAGTCAAGCTTGTCGCGTTTTGAGACATTCGTTCTACGATTGCGTAGTTCGTCAACCTGAATAATCTGAGAGTCGTGGGCTTTGCTGTGTGACGGCATCGTTTTGTTTAATTTTGTTACGTATTCTTTGTGTTTTGACAGTATATTGACATATTGTGTACAGTGTATTTGTTGAAAGACAATGGTTTGACATAAATCTATACTCAAGCAGTGTGCAGCTCTGTGTGCAGCTCGTTTCAAGTGTTCTACATGTAATGCGAACTGGAGCGCAAAGTAGCGTATAGCTGGGCACAGCATGGCACAGGATGTTGTTGCAAAACTAATTTCTTCATCAGGCTGAAGCTGTTGAAATTAAGTTTATCAAAACTACCATGAAATTAAAAAGGCATTCATAATAAAACTTGTATATTTGTGTTCATACATGCATTCAGCTCTACAAGCGTAAACTGAAGTTTGCTATGATTGAGTGCTACAATTTCTGTTTTTAGATTTATTCGGTTTAATAATACAAATGTACACCCCAACAGCGGTAGACATAGTTTTAGAGACCCTCAGAGCCCATTGTCAACCTTGGTTTCGCCTTGATTGATAATGAGCTCTTCGGGTCACTAAAACTATACGTCCACCTCTGTTGGGGTGTACATTTGTATAATGTTCGAAAGAATTAATTACTCTAAGTTATTTTTTATATGTTTTACATCTGTGTTATGATTCTCTTTTTCAGATTGGTATTGCATGGGAGTATTTATTGAATAGTGGTTACGTATCAAGAAATCTAATGGAAGAACAAAATAATTTAACAATAAATATGGTCCATGGAAACCATTCAAATACTGTGCTGTCTATACAGGTAATTCAAGGATTCACACCACAATTAGAGAGTTTGTATACCAGGCATACATACTCTGGTGCACTAATGAGTGCTGATGTATTTTCGACTCCTGTGTGCCAATGTAGCATGAAATAGATACCCTGTATGTACATGTATTTGTGTTGTTAGGGTTGCTGAAATCTGTGCATATTAATAGCATGATTTGCATAAATTACTGAATTCTATTTGTTCTAACAGCTAACATAAGATTTCAATGAAACATGCTACATACTTTGGATACTAGTATGATTTGTGTGAAATCTGTGAATATTATTTCTGATTTTGTTTAAAAATCAGTTAAGAAGAACTAACAGTATAGATTTTAATTAAAGAGATAGATCTAGAAGCTCTCAGATAATTCAAAACTCCATGTATATCAAATTAGCATATTACCATATTCAGCTACTCTTCCACTCTTCCATTTATATGTATCTACGTTTTCTGTTATTTTTATCAACTTCAATTCTGTGAATCATGCTGCTTTTGCAGCTTGCGTCTTGAATTACAATTAAAACCATCATCAGCTGACAAGTTTCTCATTTAGCGGCCTATATATATTTCCTATATCGATTTCATGGCTCAAATCATTATCTCAGCTCAAGGAAGCTCTGTCTGATATATATATAAATATGATACCTTTAAGTCTTATGTAATTTTAAAAACTTGAGTATGGATAGTGTGTGAATTAAGTCAGCATGTCAATAACAACAGTTAACATGGAATGTCTAAAATGTAAGCACTCGCTGTGAAAAAAACTTGGTGCCACTTGATTCTTGGCTACAGTTTATGAATTATTGGGTTTTTATGTTATTTTAAGAAGCGCTGATGCTGTTGTATTAATGTCTAGGATTTAGTCTGAATGTTGTTGTTTTTTGTCAGTGAAGGCTTTTAGCAGGCAATGTGTTACAGCAAATCTCAGAAGTATTGGGGCAGCCAATTTGCAAACTCGCTAGCAAATTGGCTAACTGCTTGGGTTTTGACTAAACAGTAGGCTTTCGAATCTCGCTGGCGCCGTCTTGTGGTCACGCCCACTTAAAACGAATCTATATAACAGTAGGGGACGATCCTCATACTTTAGAAGCTATTCGGCAATGGTCTTACAGTTAGATGGCGATTTCAATTTCAAATATACCAGGGAAAGTGTTCTATGCTCTTCCGTATCCACACAAAAACGCCGAATGAGGTCGATTTTTTCAGCGGTTGGCTTAATGTTACCCCAACGGATCGTTTGAGTGTGAAAGTTTGTTATTTTCTCCCTAGGAAACTGTTTCTCAACTTGTCTATTTAGTGTCAAGCAGTGTTCAAGAAGGTTAACCTCATATAATAAATATCGGTAGATTAATCTCATTAATAATATTATCACGCCAGCTGACTGTGGCCATTTTCGGGCTCAAATCAGTGGGGATCCAGACATGTACCAGCCTGAGGATGCGTAAAAACATTGCATGTCCCCTAGTGCAATATAGACTCGCCAAGAGTGGACGCGATCACAAACCGGCGCCAACGAGATTCGAAAGCCAACCGTTTAGTCAAAACCCAAGCAGTTAGCCAATTCGCTAGCCAGTTTGCAAATTGGCTGCCCCAATACTTCTGAGACTTGCTGTAATAGTGGTGTGATAATATCTAATAACTAATATCTAATAGTGTAGCTAGTATTTCTCTTCTGTCTAGCACCCCTATACATGCAGTCCAAAAACGGGGACTCATGGATTGATTACTGTGCATACATCCGTGAGTCCTAGTGTGCATCCGTGCTGACTGGTGGCCATTTTGTTTTAGGGAATACGGCTTTAGTGCCATATCTCTGACATTGCTTTGACTGATTACGTTCAGATTTTATATATTCATTATACATCATGTCATAGATAAACAAATGGTATTGGTTCGACTATCTGATTCAAAATGGCTGAATGGTGGCCATTTTTGTGCTAAAAAATCATCAGAAAATCAAGCATTTCGATTCTGGCATTCCATGTAAAAATCTCTGTCTTTTGTGGATGGATTTCGTTCAAACTTGGTACATACATAAAAGATTATGGGTCCCTGTTTATTTTGTTTTTCAGATTGGATTTAAAATGGCTGACTCACAGTCATTTTCTATTAATGAATGTGATTCTGACATACTTTGACTGATTATGTTCAAATTTTATATATTCATTGTAGATCATGTCATAGATATACAGATGTATTGGACTATTGACTATGTGATTCAAAATTGCCCACTGGTGGCCATTGTTGGCTTGTTGTTTTCTTTTTGTACAGTTGTTAAAAACACAACTGCATTATTGTGCAAAATCCTGTGCTCAGTGAATTCGAAAAAAAAAAATATAAATTTTTTTATATTGTTTTCAAATTTGACATATTTCTGAGAAAATATTTTAAATAGTATTACTACATTCAGTGTCTGTTATGTGCATTTGACTGTATTCAATATATGGCATTTCTTCTATATTTGTTTGAGATACAATACAACATTAAAAGGAAAAAAATAAGTAAAACACACAAAAAAATAAAACATTAAAATGGTTAATGGGGGAATAAAAATTAACAACAATTTATGACTAGGCTATCGATAGACAAATTTAGTATTTACAAATCTATTCTATGTCTCAATATAGGTCAAAGGGTATATGGTGATTACCTTGTCATGCAATGTATAGAAGATATGTTAAATACTCTGTTTTCATGATATATGACAACATTTATTCAAAACTTTATGGACTTACTAAATATTCTATAGTTGGTAGACTTTATGTCAGCCAGAAACAGACATAGCACAACACACTTAAGACAATTGATCATATTTTATTAGCTCCGCTGTCGACTTTGTCGAGCGGGGCTTATCATATGAATGATTGTCCGTGTCAATGTTTTACTTTTTTCGACTTCTTCTTGAAAACTACAAGCCTGAATGCTTTGATACTTGGTGTATATGTACCTTGGGTAGACCTCTCTCAGATTTGTTCATTTCATGATCATATCTTCAATTCTCTAATTTTGGTGAATATTTTTGTCTTTTTGGTAAAAAGTGATATTTTCAACTTCTTGTTAAAAACCGCAAGTCCAATTGCTTTGAAATTACATATATAGGTACTACATGTGGACCTCTTTCAGATTTGTTCATTTTGTAATGATATCTTCAATTCTTTAATTTCGGTGAATATTTTTGTAATTTTTGGTAAAAAATGATATTTTCGACTTCTTGTTAAAAACCGCAAGTCCAATTTCTTTGATATTACATATATAGGTACTACATGCGTACCTCTCTCAGATTTGTTCATTTTGTAATGATATCTTCAATTCTCTAATTTTGGTGAATATTTTTGTAATTTTTATTAAAAAATGATATTTTCGACTTCTTGTTAAAAACCGCAAGTCCAATTGCTTTGATATTACATATTTAGGTACTACATGCGTACCTCTCTCAGATTTGTTCATTTTGTAATGATATCCTTAATTTTCTAATTTTGGTGAATATTTTTGTCATTTTTGGTAAAAAGTGATATTTTCAACTTCTTGTTAAAAACCACAATCATTTATGGTGAAAAATGATTTTGAATTCTTTTTGAAAACAGCAAGTCCCATTGCATTGATACTATATGTATTGTCCATTTTCCAATGATATCTTCTGTTCTTTAATTGAAATGTGCATTGCTAACAGCAGAGCTATCTCAGGCGACAGGCTGCTTGTTTTATATACATGATATAAAATTACGGTAAAATCTGTATTAGTAGTCACGACTTCTATTAAAATGGTAGATTGTAACAGACGATATCCTTTCTCTTAGAGCATGTACGCATATGAAAAATGGTGAATTTTTGTTTGAAAAATTGTTCAAAAAGTATGCATGCGAGTTCTATTATGAATGAGACTTCTAATACAGATATTACAGTATTATTAAGATATTCTGATTTGACTTTTTTAATCAAGACATTTAACACATCTTGATTTTGTATAGTAGTTTAAACCTGTTGTATATTTTTCTTCCAAGGTACAACCAGTATTACCCGAAACTCAGCCAGGTGAACGAACGCTGTCGAACACATTCCAGTACAAATACACCGACATACCAGTTGTGTTCACAGTTCGCGCATATGACTACATCAACATTACGATGTCTCTCAGTAACTCAGTTCATCAACATATCCCAATTCTGAACATAGGGAATTCCTGTCCAGGCTGTGTTGAGATGTGGTCAAGACTCTCAAAATCCAGCTGTGATTTTGAAAGCAATTATGATTGCCTAAATGCGTACTGGATATGGAAGACAGAATCAGAGGAGAACGAATCAGCCGGACTACAGTGTCATTCATTGAACAATCTCCTGCCCACCATGGCGCACAGATACAGTACTTGTTTTGGTGAGTGTTGTAAACCACAGTAAGGTCAAATGTCAAATTCCATTTCTTACTTGGGGGGTTGAATTCTAAAACCGGTTTAACCTTCAAGTCACATGATTATTAACTGACATTGATTTAGAAATAAATTTCCTACCCTAGATTTGTATAAAAAATTATTATTAGACTTGTAAATTATTTTTAAATTAATATCTGTAATGTTCCTCAGAACTATCTTTACCAGCTCTCATCCAACATTTCACTTACTGATATGATTTTAAGTATACGAAGGATTTAAGGATTGGATTGTTGTCCAATAAAATATCTATAAATTGACATAATGCCAAGATGATGCATACAGCCTTGCCATTCAATTATATTTTGTACCAATAATCAACAAAATGAATTTTGTATGGTGACAGATATAAATATGAGTTGTTAATTGCTGTTAGTTTATAATCAATTCTATAAACCATTGTTAGGTGACTTTACTATTTACACAAATACAATAGAATTAAAAGTTAAGCTAATTATCCCATGCAAAGCTGGTAATAACCGGATCCACATGCTGTGTAATCCGCAGTCATAACTATTAGATGACACAATATCATGACTTTTAACCACAGTATGTCGTTGCTTTCACTGATGCCAAAAATGCATGTATGTTGCATGGTAGGTGTAAATAAACAGGATGTATGCTGATATTGTGTAATCGTGTGTCACTTCGATATCCTAGTGTGATAATTGCTTTATTACATTTGTACTTATAGGTGTGTCACTATGATATGCCATAGTAAGATTACTTTTATGGGCGTGTCAAGTTGTTCATTGCCTCAGTCTCAATCCATATATGTACTACTGTACAAGGCACAGTTATAGATAGGTTTCATCATCCCCCAAATATTTTAATTTTTCCCTTCATCAATATATATACCACAGTTTGGTATTATTTTTAGAAAATGTGTTGGTGTTTAGAAATACATTGTATGGGTATGTTTGGGGCAATATACAATTTTTTTTTACTTAAAAATGTTCTCTTTCTTGTTGATATACATAAATGAACACATTTAATAGCTATTTAAGATTTTTGTCCTAAAAAAGCAGATTTAAATATTATATATGATGTTATGAGGTTATTATTATACATCTTTTCCTCTCAGGGATACATCATGTGAATGTCGAAATACAAAACATTTGAACAGAATCAGCGAACTTTCTTTGTGTGGAGTCCGGCCAAACCCTGGGGGCAGCCATGTTGTTTTTCATTATTAGAGAACGCGTAATATTCCATATTTGAAATTGGGATTTTCTAATATGATAGAATAAAAATACCCTGTAAAATACCAAAACTACGACACTCTGTAACTTATGGTGTTACAATGACAGATGTATAATAGTGTTAAATATTGGTAGTTAACTTGCACATAAAAATTTATCTGAGCACCTAATATTTATGAAACAAGACAGGACTGTTCCATGGAAATTAAACCCAATTGTAGTACCGGTAAATAGATAACTAAGTCTTCATGAGATTATACTTTAAATATATTCTATACATATTCGTGTCTTGCACAGCACCACCAGTTATCGATTACGTCACCCCTAGTACAGCTGTTGTTATTGGTCAGAGTGTAACGTTGATTTGCACTGCTACTGGCAAACCAACTCCAGATATACATTGGTACAAAGAAGGACAAATGCTGACAACTTATTCAAATTATTATCATGTACCAGATGTACAGGAAGAACATCTTGGCAAGTAAGTGTTTCTTTTATCTCATGTTTCTGTACCATAAGATCTTACTAAAAATAATTGATGGGACAGTAAAAAATACACGCATTCTTTATACATGCACAACTTTTTGAACTCTCTAGGCCATTAACAATTATATTGAGTCGGATATTTTTAACTCCCTTGATCATCAACAATTATATAGATCAGACTTTGAACTCCCTAGGCTATCACCAATTATATAGATTTCAGTATTGAATTCTATCTTTGTCAACTGTTGTATAAATATATTCATCTCCCAT